GGGGGGCCAATGGTCCCTTTCCCTACTTTCTGCACCCTTGTTCGGACCACACCCATCTTTGAACTTGGCTTTCATTTTGATCCCAACTACACACCTCTAAAATGTTTTACAGGTTTTAGCAGTTTTAAACGTTTTTCTTGCAAGTTTGTGAAGCTATGGCAGTGTCAAAATCTGTCCACAGACACACAGAGAGACAGACATATAGACACCAGCCAAAGTACTCAAAACCACCTCTAGTTCCCATTACAGTGTCTCCAGGACCACATTTTGCCATGATGACACACACATACACACGTACACATAAACTCAAATGATGTGAAAACAATACCAGCCCAGCTATCGCAGCTGGTAATGAGCTGTAATAAGATCTATTGACTGGTAGAGATTTTTACATACCATTTATACCAATTCAGCCATTTCTTCAAGATCCCAGCCAGAGACAGGTACCAGAAAAATCCTAGTTGATGTATCAGTGCCTCCTTTCTAAATATCTCTTTAGCTGCCATATGCTCAAATATAAACATCTGTCACTAAAGCAGTGCAAGCACCGGGCTGTACACATCAATTGTGATCGCTAGAAATCAACAGTAACAAAAAAAGAAATCATACTACAATAATTTTCAAAAGGTACTGCTATTGCGATGAGGCATGATTTTGGTGGGAATGGTAATTTTTGTGTTTCATTTTCACTAAATATAAAATTGATAATTATTTTTGATTGGGTCTGTACCAAACAAGCATGTTCCCTTATGTCAAGAGAATATGATTTGTTAGCCAGGGCATCTCTGTAGCACCACAATGCTTCATTTATAATGGTATGTTGTGAAATGTTTGTAAATGCAAATGTGTGTATTCTCACAGTTCTCTGTCCCTGGCTGACTAGATATCTACCCACAGCAGTAAAACCTTGCATTATGTCCAAGGCCAGGGATAGTATATCATTAGTTAGCTGCAATCTTGTGTGGAGTTATGGATTACATTATAAAAAGTTTGCTTCACAACTGGCACATCCACTATGTGGTAACCAGCCCCCTATATCAGACTTCAGGGTAACATTAGCAGCTTTCTCATTCTCTGTATTGGATTTTGGGAAGTTTAGTCTGTATCCTCAGTCTTTTCCCTTGTAAAAGTGAAACATGTTTTAAAATGCCATACTAACAAATAAGCACAAATGTTATACTAAGTATGTAGGGTTATGTTTGAGAGAAATAACACTCTGATAATACTGTATATACTAAGGCTAACTAGCTTGTTTCCATGTGTTCTACATGGATCATGTACTGGAGATGATGCTTACTTTTTGTCTGGGACCTGTAGATATCACTTTCAAACATATCAGATACAATCATTAAATCATTATGTCTACCACACACACTCAGGGGTAGCATATATTGTGCTAGCGAGCTACAACTGATTAAAATCTGCAAGCAACTTCTGGCTCAAATGTGCCTGTTATTTCACAAATACTATTACTATTAATTGCCAATGCTCATTATGTGTAGCAAAGGTAATAAGCAGCAAATGAAAGTTCATGAAAGAAGCCCTCTCACTGTACTAAGTACTTCTGCCTTGCATTCAAGATGTCTTCCTTTTTGTGAGGAGTTCAGATATGATATTCTGTTTTTTGCTAGACAAGATCTATGAACACTTGACAGAATACCAACTACCTAAGGAGTTGGTCAGATCAATCAAATTGGCATCCTATTTTAATGCATCAAAAATGTATATGAAGTTAAGCACAATAACATATGTGCCTGTTCATACACGATGCATAAATGTGTCATAATCACTGACAGCACCCTGATGTGTTGGCCAGAACACCACCACCTAGCCTTGAATCTGTGTTTACCATAGAGCAAGAGAGGGATGTCACACAGGTCCTGACAAAAACACACTCAGAGAACAGAGCCCAGGTTGCCAGGCTGGCATGCTGGGCTAATGACCTTTCTTTCTCAGAATACACAGGTCTGGAAAACATGCTGCTAAGCCTAAAGCGGCCACTGACATCCAAACACCGATGACTCTAGAGGGCTGCCTCTAGCCATCATAAATGATAATACATGTGGTCTCATCCACATAAATGAATGTTGGGAGTCTCCATTAAAAATCTGTACAATTGAGCCATTAAGCACTGGCAATAATTTTCTACAATTCTTTTCCTAAATTATGAAATAATATATAATTTCTTGGTTAAGTATATGGCATATGCCAACCAAATAGAAGGAAATTATGTTAGCCCTCGTACACACTATGTTCTCATTTTAAAACAGTATTCAGTAACAATCTCTGTCTAACTGAGCGTTTTAGCTTCGTATCAGAAATAATCTCCATCCATAACAACACACCTGAAAACACATATCACATGAACATTTACGTACACTGGACATGTATGTGCCAGCGTAAACAGGAAGCAGATTGTCCACTCTTGCAGTCAGTTGCTCAGTTCCAGAAAATACTTTGAACAAGGAACAGCAATGGCAAAGAGTAAGACCACAGATTTCTTAGCTTTATAGAATGTAGATTTTAAATGCACAACAGCTGCTAGCAAAGACAACAAGGTCAGCAATGCTTGTAATTCATTATCCATGTTGCATTTACTACTGGTAATCGAGGCTGATGTCATTTGTTTTCGTCAGCAAAAAGGTCACGTGATAAGAATGTAACGAATCAGGGAAGTATTTGTAATGACTGATAAGACCCAATCAGGAAGCGAACATAGATGTCTGTGTCATTGTTTCCAAAAGTCTCAATTTCTGCCTATCCACACTAAAACGCAACCATGGAGTTTTTGAACTAAAACATGGCCTGCAGCGTTTTCCAAAGTCTCCCTTTTATGAGCTTGAAATACTCCAGAGTAGTGTGGACGCCAAGTGTAAACATAGCAGAAGTTTTGCGTTTTAGTGTGTTTGTGTTGCCTCAACCTCTTTCCACTTGCAATTTGTCTGCCACTTTGTAGTGTAAATAGAGCATTAGACATTACACACAATGTATTAGGGAACATCAGAAAGATTGCAAAGTGAATCAGTGAATAAGATGATAGCCAGTTCAGACAGTATGGAGAAAATACATCAAACAAGTTTAAATTCAATTCAAGATGGTGACTTTTTTGATGAGCCAACATATGTACACATCATTGGTTTGGCATTACAAAACCAAGAACGTATTACTGAATTTCGGTTATGTACTTGTAACAGACATTTTAGTAAACTATACCCATTAATTTAGCTTTTCATTAAGTAAATATTATTGTGATAACAATGTCAGTTCTAAGGCCCAACACTAGAGATGTGTGTGTGTTCAAAAGGCCCATTTTCCTAACAACAGCAAAACTTTACATCCTTGGCTAAATGAATAAGAGGGAAATAAAATAAACTATGGCTAATTTCTTAACAACAGTATTCTAGACTAAGCTTTGGTCCTCACAATAAAGAGAACCCAGACTAATGACATCTTGTGGCTGCATAATCCATACAGATTTTTGATATGCTGCCTTCCCACCACAAGCAAATGACAATGACAGGGCAACTACAGTGTGTGTCAAAACATATGAGCCAAGTGTTCAGTCTTTCTTCAGCCAAGGATGATAAGACAAGCAGGACAACTACACAGGCAGGCAGCTGGGGAAGTAAGACACAATTTCTTCTCTTCTGTACAGTGTATACATTTAGTACAATAACACAGGTCACAGTGACGTAACCAACTTGGTATAGTCAATTATGGCCTAATGGAAACTCAAGCATGTGATGTGTACACTGAGTAATACTATAAAATGTGCCCAGAAAGACTACAACTGAAGTCTATCAAACAATACCTTACTTGTAAACATACTCAGTCACCATTGTATAATGAAAGACTTAGCCAGGATTATGAACTTATTTAGTAAAGGTAGCTGAGGCAGACATTTTCTCAATAGTTCACCTGAATACTGAATAAGAGGAGCTCTAACATGGATTCCAGATTTAGGTAAGGACTGATTAATGGCAAAATAACGTCAACTTCATATGTAAACGTAAGTACCTGGCATACAAACATACAAGTCCTATTTTTAAGATGTATCATAAGGCTGATCAGGTTAACCCAAGGCCCATGGTAGTCCTTCTGCTATCTAAGATTTGCTGTTATCGGTTACTAATTCATATGCTTATTGCAAGTAATATGTCCAAGTTGCATATCCATATTTGTATTATGTGTTATTTTTATTTAAAGTGAGCAGTTGCAAGTCTACATTCTTATTTTCGATTGGCAGGTAAAAGAAGAATCACAAGTCGTGACAATGTAGTCTGTATAACTCCTAACGAACCTAACAATACAGAAGAATTAATTATGCAACAAACTCTTACCAATTTCTCATATTTTTCACAAAAATAGGGAGACACATTAAGCAACAAGCTACCTACCTCAAACATTTCTCAAATCTATCACTGACACGTTCCTGTTTCACATTGTGTGTAACATACGTAACGTTACAAAACCCTCTGAAATCACAACTTTTTCTCTTTCTGCTTGCTGTTTTTATCGTGTCATGGCAGTCATTAGCAAACCAGCCCTGCTGCCCAAGTTGAACGCACTGCTGAAGTACTTGACGTTGGTCAAAGACAACTCAACGTCTTTAAATGGCTGCAAACTACAGTCTAGCAAATCATATATTTGTAGGCATTTGATATGATTTTAAACGTTATGATAATGCCAACCGTTACGTTTTATACGGTTACTTGACTTCGACTTCTCAATAACGTTAAAATTTGTAGCTAGGTTAGCGACGTAGTTAATTGTGTTTAATACGCTTCACGTTACCTCACAAATTATCACCATCTGGTACACGTCCAAACAGAAAATAGGACACATGACGGTAGCAAAATACAGCTAGTTATGGAACAGTTGAAATTTTCCATAGGTCTGTCATGCCTTATAAAAGTATCCAGAATGCCAGCCAGCTAACTACCAAACAGCGAGCGTTAGCAGCTGGTTAGCAAGGTTAGCTAGAAACGATGAGAACGTACCGTCTGTTGCTAGTGACACTTGTTCCGGAGACAGTAACAAAGAAGAAAGGAATGGTTCTGCTTTCCAAATGCGATTTTAAGTTGAGTATTCAGTTGTCCCACTGCAGTGCCGTGAATTACGTCCCCACTGATACTGGCACTTATTTTCCTCTGTCTTAGGTCCCACCTATCCGTTCCGTTTCGAACGACAACAGCTTGTATGGAGCTTGCTCTGTTGTTCACTGTTCTCGTTCTAGCTCAGGAATTCAAATCGCATCGCGAGATTTTGACTATAGATTCATAGGCCTCTGCCAAATGATCCAGTTTTTTATTTTATTCCTGTCACGTCTTTATAAGAGAGCTGATATGCCACCTGTAAAACAGCTTATTAATATTATTATTATTATTGTTAATATTATTATAATGATAATAATTTAATATTAAGTAAAGGGAATGGAACTTATCTTCCACAATCTTTCCTGTGTTTGTCATTTATTTTCTATCTGGTTTCTAATTCTATTTAAACAAAATTCTATTTAGAAAAAAAAGAATAAAAAAAAAGCTCAAGGGCTGTCTGATGTAATCTTCAAGCCTAAGGGCTTCAATCGTTACTGTCCATAGAGACTGGATAAACAGCCATAAAACTCATCTATCAGGCTAAATAATCAGCCATGATAAATAATTTTTCAGAGATTACAATTAATAGGCTAGACTAGAGTGCAATGCATACATTAAAGTCAAGCAATAAGATCACCTGCTCAGAAATGATATTCCTTACATTACATGAATATATACACTCACTGAGCATTTTATTAGGACATCATATTAATATGGCCTCCCTTTGCTCTCAAAACCTCAGTTCTTTGTGGCATGGATTCCTCAAAATGCATACATCCACAAGATGTTGGAAACTTTCCTTTGAGATTCTACTCCATGTTGACATTATTGTATCACATGATTTCTGCATTTGTCAGCTGCACATTCCCTGCCACATCCCAAAGGCGTTCTAGTCTCCGAACTCTACTGGAGAGATGAACACCATTTCTCCAAAAGATATTCCCTCATTTGGTGTTTTAATGATGATCTAAAATCCAAAATTTCCTATAGGTGTTCAGTTGGGATGAGATCATGCAACTGTGAAGGCCACAGCATACAGTATGATTGACATGATTTTCATCAAACCATTCAGTGACCCCATGTGCCCTAGATAGGGGCATTGTCATCCTGGAAGAGATCACTCACATCAGGACAGAAATGTTTCATTACAGGATAAAGGTGATCCCTCAGAACAACTTTGTACTGATTTGCAGTGACCCTTCCCTTTAAGGAAACAAGTGGACCTGAACGATGCCAGCAAAATGCCCTTCACAGCATAACAGCGCAACAAGTAACATTGTTCATACCAAATTTTATCCAGTTTTATATTGCTTCCCTTTCCCCCCTAGTAGAGCTGGGTTGTTAAATCTACACTAGCAGGGCTTTACAACCAGGCTACAGAAAAGCAAATGAAAAAGCATGAGAATAAGCATAAAGGCTCATTTCAGAACACAAGGCACATACAGTATTGATGGTGTTTTATATGAACCCATGAATCTGTGGAGATGAAATTTTATTTACTCGAAATCCACCCTCTTTGAAGCATAAACTGATATGAACAAACAACACTGGAATCAAATCTGGGTAATCCCATGATATCCCTGTGGAAAGTTGTTTTGGGTTAGCCATGTACTGTTTCAGGTTTTGAAATATATTCAGTGTGGTTCAGCTTAAACAAGAGCTCAACTTGAGTCCTATTTGTGTCAGACACTGGAAGAACCATATGGAGTTGGACATTGTGGTGATATATTAAATGGGTTTTTCTTTCTAATGATATAATTTAGTCAGTAAGTAAGCATTGGAAGTCTGATACAACCATGCATTTCAACCTAAAATTGATTTCTAATGATCTAACCTCAGTTGAACGTACTTTCAACCCGTGCCATCTGTCCTGTGTCTACCAAAAACTTATTTCCTGTGTTTTTCTATTTGAATAAAGTATACAAATGTAGCAGGCCCCCCCCTTTAAGAATTAGTGCCATAAAAAAGTATATTTTTAAGATTCTACTCTGGTATTCTTAGGTTTTAGGACAAAATACTGCACGTTCAGGTCAACATGTTGCACATCTCACTAATGTAACAAATATCAATTACTGTATTCCTGAAAGATGTGCTGCAGTTTTCTCTACAACTTCAAACAGTCCGTTCCAAAACTTTGTACAAGGTCCCTGTGGTCTGATTGTTAAGGATTAACCCTCACCAAATGATACTGACACCTGGTGGAGGACAACTGTTCTGTGATTATCATCTGTGTAGACCACAGACCATCATGCTTCAAGATATGACCAATACATGAATATTGACTTGACACTGCAACACATCGAGACAAAAACATCTGACCAATTAGCACAGCTGAATTTCATAAATTCGATAGTGTCCTGTAAAGACACCTACAATAATCAAACTGGTGTAAATATTCTGTGAACTACTATTACTGTATTTAAGAATAGAATTTCATGGGGACAATTATCATTGAGTCATGAAACAGAAGCATATATTTTGAATGAGAATTTATTACAGCCAGTAGTTTACGATACAAATCACCTTTCAAAACGCTCAGCTACCACCTTCCTGAACATGGCTGATACTCTGAGCACTGACACAGTAAAATGACATAAAACAGAGGAATGCATTCAAATGTATAATTTCGATTTTATCTATTTTGCTATTTTTTTCAACAAATTTTTGTTTATGATCAAGGTCTAGTCAAACCATCCCTAGACCTGGCAGATTCAATTGTTTTTCTTTTTTTAAGAAATAATTTATCATTTTGCGATGTTTTCAGAGTTTTAGGTTTTTCAATGTTTAATTTTTTTTTTTTCTCTTTTTCCATCGGTGAAGCAGGTTTCAAAATGCTCAATCTGTAACAAAAAAAAATAAGCACATCAAAGATTACACTGTTGTTCATTAACTTATGATATCCTTTCTTCCATGTTATCTACAACTTATATCATGAGAATAAAACCCTTCCCACACCCACACACCCACCTTAGACACTGGGAACACCAGCAGGGGTGGTGGACTTCTGAGCAGCCTCCTTGGCCTGGTGGGCCTGAAGCACAGCAACAGCCTCATCCACCTGAAACAACAAAATACTTCATTTCTCACTGCATAAGGAGCAAACACACACAATTTTTAATAAATCCTTAACAATGACAGGGGAAGCAACTAATGAAAAAGGATCTATGTTGAATTTTTTCCCTCGGCATCCACAACCCCCTGCTATGCCTTTCTGCCCCCAGTTAGAGAACTACTAATCTAAAAAGGAACAAATTTTTTTTTTATGATGAGCAAATTCAAATGAGAAAATACTGTCAGCCAACAGGCATACACAGAGATATATCTAACAGATTAGCCATTAACTGACCTTTGAGCGCAGCGACTCAGGTGACTCAAGCATGTGAAGAAGCTCTGAGTTGTCGATCTCAAGTAGCATACCCGTGATCTTGCCTGCGAGGCTGGGGTGCATGTTCTGGATCAGGGGGAACAGACGCTCACCTGAGGAAGAACAGTTAACCATTTTAAAAACCACTGAGTTCAATGTCAGGAAACCACACCTAAGATGTCAAATAATTTTCTATTGGTTTCCCAAAAGACTTCATTACATGTTAGATCCTCCTAAGTCAGAGCAGGTAAAGTACTAACCCAGCATCTGCTTCTGTTCCTGAGGGGGGGCAGCAGCCAGCATGGAGGCAGTCAGGGGCTCCTGTCCTTGGACATGGACAGCAGGCTAAAGATGGGAAAAAGATTTGAGTTTTGTCATTCACAATCTAAATATTCTCAGGTTCACAGTTGTTTTTGAATTTAGTTAGATATAACTGTGGCAGGTTCTAGAGAACAATGGCCATTACTTGGGAGATCAGAAGTAATGCAATCCAATACCATCCTGTGCTCACTGATTTGTCATACAATATAGCTTTTACTCTCACACAAGCATTTTAATGCAATAATTATAAAGTCTAGCCCAGCTCCAGTCTGCCTCACTGTTAGCTCTAAATACACATATACTATGCACTATAAACAGAAATATAGCTGGTTCAAATTTTGCTGTCAGGAATCACACAGTGTTGTCAAAAGTACATTTCTTATTAAATTACGACCAGAGAATTTGAAAATAATATACAACCATGTTTAGGAATGAAATCGTGTTCATATATTTTTCAATGCCTTAAAAAGTCAATGAGATTCTTACCTGCTGCATGGTGACCTGTGGCTGGGAGGCCATGTGCTGCTGGGGGTTGCGCACACCGGCAGCATATTTGTACTGGGGCATGGCACGCACTGGGGCAGCAGCGGCTGAAGCACTGGTAGGGCGCTGGCTGAGAGCCTGGGTGGCTGAGGTGAGGAGGGACAAAAAGGCACAAAAAGGCACGTTATCAAAAGTACATCTAGTGACAAAAAGGAAGTAACACAGGAACAAAACATAGCAGATTCTTCTGTCTGTGAAAACTGAAACACATACGCATACGCTGGGAAGCCATCATCCGTGGGACCTGGGTATTTGTGGTGGTGGTGGGGCGGATGGTGTTGAAGGTCTGGGGCCTGGGAGCTGATGGGCGCATAGCACTGGGCATGTTTTGGAAGTCTGAAGGAAGAGGGGGAAAAAATGGAGATCCATAATAAAGTTGTTACAATTAAGTTCTTTCAATGTTACAAGAGGAAGTTATCAATTCATTTACAGTATCACTTAGCATCCCAATAATAATAGCATGAAACTCTATATAATCACAAGGAATTAGTGCCAGGAAGTTAAGGTATTATTTAACCTTGATATACACTGGGTGCCTATGTTTAAATGTATTGAGTATTTCAAGTTTTCAAGTATTACATTGGGACATGAGCGTGCAGAGTACACCAACATGACATGTGGGTATTAAGTGGAAGTAAAACAAAATGCTTCATTATCTCTCTGATACATGAAGCTGTAGGCTACATAAAGCTGATAAATCATGAAATCAATAAGTCTTTTTACTTAATGTGATAAATGTGCTGATGCTACGTACGCACTTTTACAGTTAAACAAAACCCTTCCAACTCGAATCTATGTTGTATTATGACAGTAGCAGAAATAAATGATCTGGAGACAAGAGTATTTTAATGAA